GTTAGTGTGTGTTTACAAATACACCATAATATTACATTCTCATCACAGTCGGACCTGGGATAACAATTTGAGATTAATTATTATGTTATCGGCTAACTCACGTTACTGTTTGACTATGAACTCGACTAGTTTCAAGCCATGCTAAAGGCTCATGTTCATGAGCAGTATTCCACGACCGGCTGCTGGAGTCGGCTGCGGTGTTGGCCTAACGCGCCCTCTGACGTGATTCCCGCGCACTTTCCTTCATCTGTCGCGGCGCGCGCGAGACCGCCACGTTAGACTCGTTCGCCGGTGACAATTTGAGATCACCCAAAAAGTAAAGTTATTATGCAGCAGCTGGTTCGCCATTTTACCAATCATGTATTTGTATAGTCAACATTAGGCTATGATTTCGAAGATTCATCCTTTATTAAAAGAACTGGTAATGTATACTTCATTGAAATAGGTGACAGTGAATCGATTGCTTATGGGTAGACAGGCTCCATCGCAGGGCGTAATTACCTATATAGTGGCCCAACGTGGACCCAGTACATATAAAAAAACAACTGAATTGCGAGATGGCGTCCATCTCATATCATTTAATTCTCCGAATTCTAAATATTCAGTTGGTATTGTCACTAATTTGTATCATTCCTAATTGTTACCCAAACATAGCCATATTACACTTACCAACACGTATTACCATAATACGATGATTGGCAATTCCCGAATCCCTAATATCAGCAGAGTGCAAATACAATGCCCATGTAATCCCCGCTTTGTAACGTAATACCCCGTATTATGGAGCTTACGTTAATCGATGATGTTCGAATTGCGAATCTCCTTTCCGATTATGGGTGCCTGGTACTTTCGATTGAAGTATTGGTGCATAAACGTGATAATAACGTCTCATTTTTCGTCACTGAAAGGGTAGGCAGAGATGCAGTTGATAATTGGGAGTTCTTTTTTGGATTTTCGAATTCATTCCTAATTAGACGGAGAATAAACGAAAAAAGAAATAACTTTTATACATTTATAAGCCTCATTGTATATTAACGGCCTTATGTTATAGAGTTTGTCAAGCTCTATAACAGGCTTTTATATAAATGATGGAAATGCATCTCTGCTCACGCCTTTCCAAATGTAAACCATAATATTATTTAGTTTATTACACAGCTATAATAGGACTATGAAGTAATAGACAAACATAATGTACTGTTTACTCATGTAGGCAGGTACAACATAATTGTTTTAACCTTTCCGAGATCATAATCACGTAGACAGAGTTCCATCATTTTTAGCTTTAGGGAGCGGCCATACTGCATTATTTGAAATAAGTATGTTATTATGATTCCCGTATAATAGGGAGTGAGCCTATTGCCATATAGGTACCGGGACTATTACTCTATTCTAGACTTCATGTTATTCCTGTGTAACATAACATAATATCACGCCTTTTTATTCCTGAAGGGAATGGAAGGGGACTTCATGTTATTCCTGTGTGCACCTCTGCCTACAGAGGTGCACACAGAAGTAACACCCACTTTTCACTATTTATGTTATGAGTCCCATGTAATAGGGGGTGAGCGTATTGCCATATACCGGGCACATTTCCAGACTCCGTGCTACTACTGAGATTTTTTTTTAAAAACCCAGTAATACTTATTTATTTAGTAATACATATTATTCCTGTGTATTTTTTGAAAAAGAGGAAAGGGAATCCAATTCGAGATTGCGATCTCTTAGGATAAGATATATTCTACCTATCAACTTACCCCTTCGGTAACAGATATTATGTTTACCAAAATATTAATATTCATAGAATTGATACTGATTTATCCCTCAAATGCATAGTGATGTACCATTGTAAAGAATTTGTGTGATTGTTTTTAGTCTGTGATCTGAACTTTATTTATGGACTGGAATTCCTTAAGATGGAAATATCACTGTGCATTTAAGGGTTAAAACTGTTTTGCAATATATATAAAGAACTGCGTTTAAATTATACCTTAGTTCATGTCGCGGAGAACCTAACGGGTAACCGGGGCTCCGGCTCGACGTGCAGGAGAAGGAACGGGGTGGGTTTTAGTCAGTAAGAGTCTGACACTAAGGCGGGAGCAGCCATTCGGTGATTTTCCCACCTTAAAAAAACATACCTTAGTTCACACTGCGATGTGCACACAGCCTTACATCGTGGTCTTTTGCCATTTAACCTTTGCTACCTCAAGCTAATTAGTGCACTATTAAATTTCATGTCCTTGAATTATGGCGAGTGTAATTATAGTGCTAATTATAACACATCTGATCGTGTTCTGATATTTATAGACTGTATCTTAGATTGTTATCTCGTCCTACATAATATCACGGCTATATTAGGTACTTAGAATGTATTTAATAGTAGCATAATCTTAGCTATGGTATGGTTCTTCTTTATTTATTTCTTTTCAGTCATGATCGTCCCATTGCAGGGCAAAGGCCTCATTACTCTCCTTCCTTTTTTAATCTTAGCTGTGGTTCTTTTTAAGTAGTTTTGTTTTATTTGTCACCTAGGTATAAACACGTAGGCAAACGTAGTGTAGGGCGCTCTCCAGCTAGGTGGAGTGACGATATACGTAAAGTGGCTTGTAGTGGTTGGATGCGTGGAGCTGAAGACCGAGCTCAGTGGCGTGCCATTGGAGAGGCTTATGTCCAGCAGTGGACGAAAACAGGCTGTTGATGATGATGAGGTATAAACACAATGATAAGATAAATATTCAAATTAAAAATACTTATATAAACTACGTTTAAAAAACCAACTGGAACCCACTCTTTTTTGAAGTCGGTTAGTTATTATACTAAAACCTTCTTACAAGTGTAACTAATATTTTTTGACACCGCCGCGCCCGTGCACGCTGCTCATGAGGAAGAACCCCTCTGTGGTTCGAAACTAGTACAGCTTTTATCAGTATTTTCACGTGTGTAACCCGCAAATTTTAGTTAATTTAATATGTCTCACGATAGTTATTATACCTCTACAATTTTTCGAAGAAACACCCTAAACCGCAAATCATGTAACTAGTTTCACACAAAAACATGACCAAACCATTTATTCGAATGACTGTACCCACCTACTGACGGGCATGCCCGTCACGCTAACAAATTGATCGGAACTGTTAATCTGTTACACTGCAGCTTACCCATTTAGTCACCTTCACGCTATCTACAAAGCTTGTTAAACGTGTTGACAGATAAATAGAATTAAATGAAGTGAATTGTGTAATAATTTTACTGAATGGTTCGACTCTAGTTGTTAAATGCATCGTCATTATAAAGATGACATAATAAGAATGTTTTGGTATATGTACATACGGTCTCATGTTCCATGACCTAAATGATTGTTAGTTTTTTATTTAAAATACCTACTTTACCTACTCGACTTAGGATTCATATTGCGACGAGCCTACTTCATAGTAGGTACGATTGGGTACTTTTCGCTTAACCGCTATGTTTTACTTCATTGCAGATTGCAGATTGCAAAAGGCCCTGTTGCATAGTATTCATACAACGGACAAAAACTCCGATAATCTCTATTCATGTAAAATTTATTATTATGTTTGTCAGATTATTTACATAATCATTAGACGACGAACTTGACCAGTTTCAAGCCACGCTACAGGCTCATATTCATTATCATTCCGGGACCCGCGATGAGAGCGTCAGTATCAGCGCTAATGTTATCTACTACTCATGAATATGAGCCTCTAGCATGGCTTAAAACTAGTCGAGTTTCTCGTCAAATAATTATGAGTGCAAGCCTAAAAACTATAAATAATTTAGTATGTCTCACGAAAGTAATAATATTTACCACAAACATAACAAAAAATATTTAACACTAAAAATATACCAACAAAATTACTTAATCCATCGACATCAACAAGTTAGTCTCTACAAAACTTCATTGAAACCAATCAACACGCCTTAGTACGCAGTTTTAAAGAGATTGATTCAATTAAAATGAAATGAACTAAACTCAGTGTAAGCCAGCTCGTAAAATAATTTAAGTTAATCCTGTTATACGGTCTCAATCGTTATTTGATTATACTTGTTACTTCTTACGTTTCTTCATTCATTTGCTTACTGTTCATGAGGTGGTTATAATTGTGGTTTTATTTCGCTCTTCTGCTGTTTGAATAACGATTATGCTATAAATTAAATTACTTCTTAATCCGATCGACACAATTCAAAAAAGTCAAAGTCAAAATCATTTATTTCAATTAGACCAGAAAGGCACTTTTGAACGTCAATAATAAATTCTAAACAAGCTTTCAGAAAGATCACGAGATACAATGATTTAAATTCATAAACATCGCATGAGTTTTTATAGTGTTATCACTACCTTACTAAGTAATATATCAAATTGCTAATTTTCCTTAATCTTCAAAGATATAGGGATAGGCATTTAGTAGAAAATATTTAACAAGATCCAGTGTAATACTACGAACACCGAACATGTTACAAACCTTCATACTAAACGCCAGGCCTTCAATAAACTACATAATTATAACAACGCCAAGTATAGTGGAAGATTCCGTGCCAACGTGCCGTACCCGCCGCGGTCCGTGGGCGGTTGGCAGGCGATCGCAATGGGACGGCCGGTCTGGAACTCAACTGATTGTTTAACCGCCCGCCCATCTTGCGATAATCAACCGCCAAGTTTGCGGGCGATAATCACAACCGCGGCGGCTGCAAGATCGCAGAAAACTGCGGTTTTGTGAGTTTTGAATATTCCGCCTCCATACCGCCACGGTGGCAGGCGCGGGAGAAAACCGCGCCGTGCATTCTTAGCCTAATACTAAAGTCGCGGAGAACCTAACGGGTAACCGGGGCTCCGGCTCGACGTGCAGGAGAAAGAACGCGGTGGTTTTTAGTCAGTAAGAGTCTGACACTCCTTTCCGCCTCACCCAGGCGGGAGCAGTCATTCGATGATTTTCCCCACTTAAAAAAAAGCCTAATACTAAACAATTATTCTATTTTGTCAACAGAACGACTCTGACGATGAGCAATGCGCGCTGAGCGATAAATGGCAGTACGAGAGGAAGTCAAGGCGATGGTCCAGGGTCGTGGAGATCACACCGCAAGCACAGAGGCGGTTACAGGTAAGCAGATATTATGGTAGACCTTATCTGATCCATGAGAGATCAAATTAGAGTACAGAAAGATAAAATTAGGTAGGCTGTTGTTATAGGCCTGATCATGACATATTTCTACTGTCTTTATAATAGGGTGTACTTTACTTTTATGATATCGTCTCATCACAAAAAAAAACAACTCTGGAGAACCTAACGGATAACCGGGGCTCCGGCTCGACGTGCAGGAGAAGGAACGGGGTGGTTTTTAGTCAGTAAGAGTCTGACACTCCCTTCCGCCTCACCCAGGCGGGAGCAGTCATTCGATGATTTTCCCCCTTAAAAAAAAAAAAAAAAAAAAAGGATTAGATCTTAAAATCGATTCGAGCGCCAACAAAGTCTGATTGGCACTTCGGTTTTTGGAAAATCTTTAGTACCTATAGGACAGCAAATACGATCCTTAACTATGCCATGCAGTCTACGTTACTACTAGACTAATCCACTGAAGAATATTTATATCTTCTGTCAACTCAAATTGTTCCATAAAACATTTGAGTTAATGAATCTCCCTCATAAATAATGCAAACAGCATGTATACACCCTTCTGAGACTGAAGGGCGAAAGGTATAATACACTTACGTTTCTACAATTATATTACAAGTCCTTTTTAATTGGGGACGAACCTTTGTCATTACATGTACAGATTTAGGTTTTAAGTCTCCTAATGAGAAACATTTCTACATTAAAATAATAACTTCAGCTTGTATTACAGCAATTAAATAAATTAGTCTTGGAACATTATATTGTCTGTAAAAGTAAATAGAAATAAAGAAATGTTTTGTCAGCGGCATACGTGGAGAAGAGACGTGGACGGTGCCACGAGTTATAAGAAAGGGATATGCTTAGAGATAATTTGAAAGATCGGGTAAAAAATCCAATAAAAAACCAAAGTTATCAACATAACCTAAAGGATTAGCCAGCTGAAATGGCAATAGGCTATCATCATCGTATACCACCCGGTGAGATAATAGTCAATCGTTATCAAACCATCAAATATAAAAAGGCCGGTCATAATAGTAAATTTTTAAATGGAGATCTACTTAGGCTTTCGTTATTATAGGTCTCTTTAGATTTTTAAGTTAGGCTCTTATCATTCCACGAATTTAATTCTTAATAGAGGAACTTTGAAGGAAATGAAGAAGGTCCTCGAAATCCAAAACAAAGCATGAGACATCTCTCTCTCTATACATTTTCACAAAACGTTCTTAATAAAACACAAGTTTTAGTGAAACGTGAGAATTCGAGTTTGCAAACGTCTGTCTTGCATTACGTATGCTTAAGAGCATTAGTTGCTGTTGTAGTTTCTATGAGGGAGCAGTGACAGCGCATTAATTTCGTCGAGTTAGGTGTAACGTGCGGGGTTAAGGACATTGCTATTTGTATGCTTAATAGGGATCCTTAATTCTTATGGTTTCTTGTGAAAAATGAACTTAAACGTAATTTAGCTAAAAGATCATTACATCATAACCATAACATCACGCCTTTTTATCCCCGAAGGGGTAGGCATAGGTGCACACAGAAGTAACACCCACTTTTCACTATTTATGTTATGAGTCCCATGTGATAGGGGGTGAGCCTATTGCCATATACCGGGCACATTTCCAGACTCCGTGCTACTACTGAGATTTTAAAAAAAATCCAGTTAATACTTTGCCCGACCCGGGAATCGAACCCGAGACCCCTTTGCCCGGCAGTCTCACTTGCGACCACTCGGTCAACGAGGTAGTCACTCGTTGGCCGAGTGGTCGTTGCAGAGGCAGAAAAAAGTCACCACTTAAAAATAGAGTTGCGGGTGAAAATTCTAACAAGGAATTTTACTACAGTATTGAAAATATTCTGTCTTATCTAGCAGGCATTTCATTTAACAATGGTCTCAAACTACCAAGACATAAGGTTTGTTTTTGTCCACACGGTATAACGCACATTATCACCCATAACTTAAAATATATTTACTCTTGTCAACAGGTGATAGCAGCTCGAGCATTAGCAGAAAGAGAAGCTAGAGAAGCGAGGGGAGAAGTAGAAGATGATGAAGATGAAACTCTTCCCACAATAAGAGTGGGGCTTGTTGATCCAGAGGGAAACTATACTGATGTTGAACCAGATCTGTAAGTAGTTGTTGAATTCTAAGTGATATAGATTGAAACTGATGAAGTGTGTTAGAAATAACTAAAGTACTGGATATTTTTTATGAACAGATGTATATCTAAGAGTAAGCTAGCTGAAACTTAACAATATAGTACAAAATGATCATACAATTATCTGTTGAGTAATTTTGGTCCAATCTAAATTACCATTAAACATAATTTTCCACAAATATCTTTAACTTTGCTACTTCTTCACTGCAAAAAAATGAAGTAATTTACTTTCAAAGCTGTGACGTAATTATATAAAATCTAAAATAAATACAATTGAAATCACAAATCCTCATGAACAATATTAAAACAACTTCAAAATGAAATCTAACCATCCCAATCCATACGCATTACACTCGAGGAAAATCCAGTTCTAGTACAAATTCCAACTTTCCCATATTCTGTACTATGTGAAGCATTAACGCTTATGTTCGAAACTCCTGAACAGAATTTGCATTCAACTTTGAGTTCACCATGTCTAGTTAGATACAACACAAGCTACACAACCGGTTTATCCTGGTCTTACTTCGCTTGATATTTCTGAACATTGGACGATCAGTTTATACTGGTGTTGCTTTAGTTGATGTGTAGTCATGCACAACTTAAGTTGCGCTATTATGCTTGTTGAGCTTCCAGCTTAGTTGTAGTGTAATATGGTGCTAATTATTCGGTTGTTAGCGTTCATATTCCTTTGTATAATGGTATTAATTTGCGTGTGTTTTGACTTCGTTAATAGAACAATTGTGTTTATTCATCGCGGGATCTTAAGTTCCATCTCCTACTATAATTAAATGAATGGATATTATGATAATTTCAGTTTTTAACAATAGATACGCTCTTTTATCATAGTAGGTCCACAGATAGGGGTTATGAAGTAAACGAAGAAAATTGTTTGATTTGGTCCTTTGAGATGAGGTAGCTTTTTCAAAAACCTTGTCACCTTTCTACCCATTTCATCCTAGACATAGAAAATAGTACCTACCTGTCTGAAATTTGACAAAAATCGTCTACTAAGTAAATTGTTATTCAAAATTATTTACCCAACAAATATCAAGTGCGACAGCCCAAGTACCAGGAGCCCAGAAAGCGAAGGGAGTTGACACTCACACAAATTGGTGTTGCAAATCTTTAGAACAATACAGTGATCCTTTAACGAAGAGCTCTAGAGAACGTCTTTATACGCCAAAGAATTTCTTGGCGACAAAAGGTTGTAAAGCAATATTAAGTTTCTTTGTCATTTTAGTGTTTGTTTTTGTTTTCATAGAATTCATTTTTCGCTGGATCTTTGTCTCTCTATTTTTTCATAGCCTAATTAGGAGATAATCCAGAAAAGACTATCATATCTTGGATCTAGACTTTAGCTACTATTACTTATAAGTCTTATACTCAATACCTACGTTTGATCAGAATTCATATTTTACCACATCGATCAATATTTCAATTTCACACTCAAACCGTAGTTTCTAGGTAACCAGGACTTCTGTTTGCGTTTGAACTGGATTTGGTCTTTGGCTTTGGCGTCTCAAAGGACTAAACCAAAGCTACGGCTCTCAGAAGCAATCAATCATGCGGAACAAACATTTGTGAAGGTTTTTGGCATATAGATTGAGAACGAAGATTGATTTGAAAGTCAATATTATGGTCTTCATAAAGCATTTTGTTATGTCATTGTCTGTTTTTCCTTGATGAGATAAAGCAAGAGGCGTATGACAGTCTTTTGGAATGATAGCAAATACAAAACCCGAATACAAAGACCTACATCTCATGTATTTAAAATATCTACGAGACTATAATCTTATAATGTGAGACAATAATCTTAATTAGGACTCTCTAATTGATAAAAGCAACTGAAGACGTGCTGTGATACGAAAAGGTTACAGCTTTAATCATTAGATACCCATTATCTACTAGATAATTAGAGAATGAGAATATTTATTATTATGTTTTTCAACTTACTCGCGTAATTATTTGACGAGGAACTCGACTAGTTTCAAGCCATGATAGAGGCTCATATTCATGAGCAGCGTTCCGCGACCCGCATCGCGGTGACTATCGCGCTGCTTCTGCCATAATAATTAATTTCGTACATCTCACAAAAGTTATAATACAAATGAGAATATTATTAATAGCAATTAATTTTAATCAAAACCTTGTACAGAACATTAAAAACTGCACCTTCCAATCCTGAATTTCACCATTATAGTTTTTCCTACTAAAACAAAACAGGTTAAGACACTTCCCAATGTATTCTCAATGCTACAAAAGGAACACAAATCCCTGTTTACAATGCTATCACAAACAACTTACACAACGATACGGGAATATCAATTTAATTATACAACAGTATGTTGATGACTATAGTATCTTCTGTAGCATCGTTTGCGCAATCAAGGGCCAATTATTTTAGTGTGATGCCCCTGATGTACTGTTAGGTTTGGGGCCCTTAAAACTACGTTAGTAGTGAAATCATTCTGAAAGCGTGTTTCAAATGTTTCATTTAGGTCTTATTAACTGATCGTGATGAGACGCTTCTTCAATTATTGTTTAGATTGAGAATGAAGTGTTTTCACGAACCAAGTGTCCTTAATACATTTTTTGCCTTACTTATCGTAATTAAAAAACTACATGACTTGGAACTTTTTAATACTTTTCTGATAACTGTTGGAACCTTGCCGATCACCTGGTGCCATTTGATTGTCGACTTCAGGGACAGGTAGAAGGACTAAGGATTTTGCGATCACAAAATACCTACTTATTGTAGGTAATTCCCTGGTAAAGATTTCGCACTTTTGATGGTTTATATGAATTTTATTGCTCTTCTTGCTTCACAAAAACTGCCTTTAGAATCATATATAGATTAATTACTTACATCTAGTTATCTTCTCCGCCGTCTAAACAAAGTCAATCATTGATTCCATTATAATTATTAGGTATAACATGGAACTCGCTACCGCTTTGGTAATGAATCGCTACTCTCCTAGCCCCAAACACATCCTCATTAACACTTAGATGATTACAGATATATTAGACGAGCTTATTAATTTGATTGTTACAACTGATTGATAGGAATGTTAAGTGAACTGATGCTGACGCTGACGCGTAACGGAACGGATTGATATCAGTTTTGACTGACAGTATTGTCGGATCATTCACTACAATGTCGATGACCGTGCGGCGTTATATTGAAATTTTTTTTTATTTTTTTTTCATATGGGTGGTTGCATGTGCAACAGTTGATATACTCAGTAGATAATATTATATGAGTTTTAGAATATACTCAGTCTTCGAGTTGTTTTATAGGATTCGGATTTGCTATTGCTAAGATGTCAGAAGTTTCCTATTACTAGCGAGAGGAAATTACTCTTGGATAACCTGGATCATCTAGCTAAATAGCGATATCCGTCAGGCAAGGTCAGAAGATCTTTGTCAAAAGGTACCTAATACAAAAAAAAACAACAACAAAGGAAATGGACATGATGTCTTAAGTTCACATGCAGGTCCCCAGAACCACAGATCGTATACAATGCAAGGTAAGGTAATGTTTTTGCACACAGGAAAAATTGTTTTATTATGTCCAGAGTTTGGCAATAGGCTCATATCCTATGACAAGGAGACTAATCACTGACGAGCTATCGCGCTCGGGTCACGGCGTTTTAGCTGAGCACCTGCCTTTTTGCATCGGGTACACTGTTCTGTTGTTATTCAACTATTTTTAGTGTGTTTTTGTAACGGTGTAAATAAACTGTTTTTTTTTCTTTAAAAATTAACGATGGTCATCGTCGTAATCAGCCTGTAAAATATGTTTCACTGTTAGATCTATTCTCACGAAAATTCAACGTAATTAAGTGTTATATCTCTTTATGCCCCTTCGGGTAATAATAGGCGTGATGTTCCATAACATAGTTAAGTAACAATTCTCTTACGAAATATTGTTTATCTATTGTTTATTTCTTCGATGAACGTTTACAGCGTCTGGTGTTAAGGTTCGATTCTTGCCTTAGGCTATTGTTTTATGGGTTTTGTAAATTGTATGAGTACCTAATAGATGATTTATGTGTGAAAATGTGCCTATAGATTGTGATAGATAAATAAGGCTTGTTTATGATAGGTAGGTGACTTTAAAGTACTGAGTTGTTAGATGTGTTGCAAGAACATTTAGTGGGAGTTTCAGTTTTTGAATGCTTTATTATTATTGAGTGCTAGATATCAATAGCTCATTGCTGGACAATGATCCTCTTCTACAGTACATCGTTTGATATGATCTCCATGCTTGGCAGAGTAAAGGTTGACGATTAAAGGAAATCACAGTTAAAAAGGTTCAGGTTGAAGATTAAGAACTCTTACACACGAGCGGCATGTTGCCAACGGCAGAGGCAACTGCTGCCTTCGACGCGTGTTGGTGGCAACCGCTTACGCGTCGACAGCAGCAGTCGACCTATAACTTGCAGTTGTAGCATTCTTAGAAGTTGAAATGCTGCTGTTACCTCTGCCGTTGGTAACATGCCATTCGTGTCTAATAGCTGTTATGGTGATCCCAGATAAGGTTCAGGTTGATTGGAGAGTTCTGTTATCCGGTGTCTACAACACCTCTTTATGGCCTTATACGACACCCCCAAAAAAGTAGAGTTTGTGACATCATCATTATCATCATCATCAACAGCCATTAAATGCCCACTGCTGAGCAAAGCCTCTTGTCACACGGAGAAGGTTTGAGCAATAATCACCACGGTTGCTCATTGCGGAACAAATGCCTTCTGCTTATTAGCCTCTGATAAAGGCTATTTTAAGGGGGGAATATCATCCAATGACTTCTCACGCCTTGGTGAGGTGAGAAGGAGTGTCAGACTCTTACTGACTAAAAATCACCCCGTTCCTACTCCTGCACTTCGAGCCGGAGCCCCGGAAACCCGTTAAGTCTTCCACGGCTCCTATTGGTATCAGCCCTACTGGGCCCTATCTGTGGTGGTCTGATG